TGTATTTTATAAATTTCTCATTTAAAAAAGTTGTAGGCACCTGGTGTCTATGTAGCCAACTTTAGTAGGTGTTCTAAAAATTTTTATTGTTCTGTATTTCTGCTAAGCTAGTCTGCTTTAGGAACATGTAGGTCTATCATTTTTACAGGTTTATCTGAATTTTAGTTAATCTGTTCATTGTTAGTTCTTTAGTGGAATGGGGTATGTAGAAGCAAGGTCCTTGTTTCCTTGTAAGCACTGGAATCCTATTAAAAGCGTTGTGTGTGCCTTTCATTAGTCTGTCAGTTCACATTCATAGTATAATTTCCACAAATATAAGTTTGTGGAAATAATCTCACTTTTCAGTCTCCATCTACCTTTGGTCATCAGAAATTATAAAAATTTAGGATCTAGTGACAACTTACTATCTGATCACAAACAGGCCAAAGCCCAGCAATTAACAATAATTAAAACTAAGGTATCAGAGACAATGTATAGAAAGGTAGGTATTAGTTGTTTAAAACACAGGCTGTAAGTGATCTGAAACAAAGAGCTGTGACATTAGAGAAAAAGGAAAGAGTCATTCCTCTGACCTTTCACAGACTGCTATAAAGGAGCCATTAAGAACCAGCTCCTCCGCTCCTTTGGTCAGCCCCTTGGAGAAGAACAAAGCTCCTATCAAGGAAGTTACAGCGGTGCTCATCCTCAGCTGAATCACTCTGGAAGACTGAGGGGTAAAGAGTTACCATTCTTAGCTCTATTTGTCTTTCTAAGAAAGATATGCCCATGTACCCTTCACTCAGATTCAGTAATTATAACGGTGCATCTTGATATCTTGCATACTCCTATGCACCGCCAGTCTTTCAGGACTGTTTTCAAGTAAATTCAAGATAACAAATATTTTATTTGCAAGCAGTTCAGTATACATCTCTAAGAGTAAGGGCAGGTAAAACATTTCAAAATCACAAGTTGTTATGGTTTATGTCTGTGTGTCCCCTCCAAAGCCTCATATGACCATGGGGCAGGCTATTAGAGTTGAATGATTGTGGGTGTGAGAGCTACACCCGCCCTGGGGTGGATAATGTGCATATGTAAGGGAGAGGAAGAAGCTGCTTGAGGGCATTTCTTCTCCGCCATTCCTCCCCCATTCTGCCCTGGTGGGTTTTGGTTTTAGTGTGTGCTGCCGCCCTGAGATGCAGCCCTCTGCCCCTTGCGACTCTGCCTTATAATCCTGCCAAGTACGGATTAAAACTTCCACGAACTGTAAGTGAAATAAACCTTTTCTTCCTTAATTTTGGGCGTCAGGTATTTTGTCCCAGCAGCGAGAAAAAAGTAACCAAGACACAAGTCTATTACCCTGCTTAGCAAAAATTTCTCAGTATTCAATGCATTTTCTTTGAACTTTCCAACTGTCTCACAATAGTGATCCATTTTGAGGGGAATTTTTAAAATGACAGAGTATGAATAATTTGTTTATAATGAAACAAGTTCATCATACTTTAGGAAAATAGGAAAGTAGAACTGAGATTAGTAAAATAATGCCAGATAACATGCAGATTACATAATCTGCAGAAAAAAATAAAAAAACAAAGATGAGATATACTTCTGGTCATTACTCTATAAATAAAGCACCAGGTTCATGCAAACTTTATGTCCTTGTCTTATCTCATAATTGTCAGGATAGTTTAAAAAAAAAAGAACGGGGTCTTGCTATGTAGCCCAGGCTGGCCTCAAACTCACAGTGAGCCTCCTGCCTGAGCCTCCTGAGTGCTGGGCTTACATGCACCACCACACTTTGCTTTTCATGATAGCTTTCATGAGGGCAAATACTCACTATTTACAGGTCTGAAGACTATGTGTACATTTTATATAATATTTAAAGAAATATAGTTTATATAAAAAATACCACGAAACATCCAAAAGTTTTAAAAAATCTATAAAACAACAAAAATACACTTCAAAAGATCAAACTAACAGAACAGAACTTAAAATTTTATAGTAACTTGAGAAGACAGTATTTACAAATAGTTCATGAAAAACGGAAACTTGAGTCCTTACTGGTATTCTGGTATTCTCTGGCAATCTGTGAATTAAATCCTGTTCACCAAGCAAGACTAAACTCAGAGGATCTGGGAGGAGGGGCTGACCAGTAGAATTTACTATTCTCTGTTCCTCTGGGTTGTCACTGTTCTTAGTTGTAGTCAGAGCCAATTCTGGTGGTCAGGTAGTGCCTGGTATATTAAGAGTGCTATATCAAGCTCAATAGACACCATTATTAGGTGGTGATTTATTAAGGGTTTAAGTTAGATCCACCCAGATCATTTCATTGGGAGCATAATTACCATCAATGGGACACCTGTCAACTGGGTGACAGCATGTGGACTAGATGTTGAGTTAGTTATCCACCTTATGAGATAGCACAAATACCACTACTAATTTAGGACTGGGCTTAGACTGTGGAATCCAGGAGTGTCAATGCTGATGTTGTGGTATTAAGAGATTATTCAATACTATCTTCTCTCAAATTCAACTAAGTAGATATTGATCAGTCATCCAGTGTATGTCCATTTTGTGTTCTAAACACTCTGTGAAAAACATCAATAACATACTAGTGTTTACAAAGGGCTTTCACATATACCACTTTAAACTCACAGGAATGCAGGTTGGCTATAATCCTCATTTTATATAAGAAACTAAGGGAGGAAAAAGTGAAGGGACTGATCTAAGGTCACACTACCAATAATAGTGGAGTTAGTTTTTACACTGATCATCTGCTGTCTATATCATCTTAATAAGGATTTGCAGCTATTCCTTAAAATAACAGTTATGGATCAAAAATTCTTGAAAAAGACAAATGCAAAGCATGAGGAGTTAGAAAAGGATTTAAGAATTAGTTTATGTAGGGATAAGGTGAGGGCATTTTAAAAGTTGGTTAAATAATGTATCATCATGCAAGGCCTATTTCTGAGCTGATAGCAAGCATTAGTAGTGTTAAAATAACTAGATTCAGTACAGGATAACCTTACTTATTCATATTCATTAAATTTATACTTGTGATAATTTGCAAATAGGTTAGATTCAAGTATAATTTCAATTTAAGGAGAAAAAAACACCTGCAAAGGTTCAAAGCATACCATAAAACAATGGGAAGTAAAGTCTATTAAGCAAAAGAATAGATATAACTTGCTTAAAACAAACAACTCTTTAAGAATTTAGCAGTGTCAAAATTCATAATGAGGTGCCAACCAGGAAAACTTTTTTTGGGGGGGGTCTTTTTGACACAGGGTTTTCACTATGCAGTTCAGGCTGGCCTTGAACTCAATTTGCAGCCCAGGCTGGCTTCAAACTAAAGTGATCCTCCTGCCTCAGCCCCTTGAGTGCTGGGATGACAGGCATCATGCCTGGCCAGAAAACTTTATATGTGTTAAAGTGTGATAAATGTTAGCATGATTTTACAGATACTATTCTATTCTAATCTCAGATGGGTTGTGTCCAGTTTTAAGGGCCATTATTTTTAGTCTTATTCTTACTATGAATAGTAAGTTATTTATTTCTGTACTTTTAAATTTATGTGATTTTGCTTTAGTCAAGAGCAATTTTAATTTGTTTTGCATAATTCATCTGTAAATTTCTAAGACAAAGCAAAAACTACCACTGCCACTACCACCACCAAATCAAAAAATACCCCAAAGACTCTAAAACCCCCTACTACCTTCAGTGAATAGTAATCTTTTCAGAGAGAAAGCTTTCTTTAAGCAGGGATACCTGGACTGAGAACACACTCTTACATACAAGTGATTCAAAGTGACAGGCCTCAGATCACCAAAAGAGAAAAAAAATCCGCCTTGCAACATTACCGCTGCATGAAGTTATATATAGGCAGTCACAGAGACAAGGCGGACTGGAATAGTAATAATAGAATCAAAAGAGCAAAACCAACTCTTAGTGTGGCATTGCTGGGCTTCTCTATGTAGTTGTAAAGTATGATTTAATTTAAAAGCTATTATGTTTTCTTTTTAGTGTTAAAACATTTCAAATACGTTACAACTTTATTATACTATTTCACATTTTTTCCCTAAAAGACTTTTGCATTACTAAGAAGTAACAAATACATTGAAGTAGAAGAGAATTTTTTCCTAATCATGGAAGACAGAATTTCATGCAATGTTAAGGCTCTTCATTAAGTGCTCAAAGAACAATGTTTCCATGGAGTATACCAATGAAAACCCTATAGCCATGTTCACGTTTTTGTATTTAAAAAAAATCCAAGTATGTAAAAAACTGGCAGTTGGTTTGTTTTCTAGTTAAAAGACATTTAGGAGTACGAAGAGCTAAGAACTTTCAGTGGTAAGCAAGGCAGCAAGCCACAGAGTCAAGCTGAACATAAATACTCTCTTTAGTTTTCCTGGGAAGTTGTACTTCCTACTTCAGGACCATTCAGCCTTTTTGTTCTAATACCTTGTCAGGACACGCGGCTATTAAGATGCCAAAAGGTCACAACTATATGGTGCTGCTTGGTTGTTACTAGGTTTTAATAGCCCATATTTCTCAAATTAACATCTTCTGGTAGGCATCTAATTAAAGGTTATGCTATTCAATTTGAATTTTTATTATTATTAGGTAAGAGAATTTAATGCATTCTTGAAATGTACTTTCTCACCTGAAATTATTTCTCATCAATTTTTATCACATTCTGTTTTCTCCTTTTTGGGGGGCAAACAATAGGTCTTTAAAAACCTAACGAGGGGCTGGGGATTTAGCTCAGCGGCAAAGCGCCTGCTTGGCAAGCGCAAGGTCGTGAGTTCGGTTCCCGGTACCGGAGAAAAACCAAAAAAAAGAAAAAAAAAAAAAAAAGAAAAAAAAACCTAACGAGAAGACTGAATTTAAAAAGAAAACAGTTATACAGTATGGAAACTTAAAATCAGTGACGGTAGTAAGAGTGGTAGCAGTAAGCAAGTTCTAAAATCTGACATATAAACCTTGAGGCGAGTTCCATGTTAATACTACTTAACACCTCTTACCCGGGTTGCAATCTGTGAGAAGTGAGCAGATGGACAGAAGAACTTTAGAGATGGTTAGGGCTGGACTCCAGTTATCTTTTAGGATATCCAGACAGATCACACCTTGGCTGTTAATGTTACAGTGATAGATTCTTGTGCGGAAGGTAACCTAGAAGAAACGCAGATACATCTTTTATTAGACAAAATTGTTCAGACCACTGGATAAAATACACCGGTGTTTTCCTCAGGTAGTGAGAATAAGCAATAAACAAATGTCATCATTTAGAACCTATCACTCTGGGAACAGAAAACTAAATGCCAAGAGCAAAACCAGGACATTGTGCTTTTAATGAAGAGTCATGTTATGTAATGTTTTAGGGACTGAATTTACTCGACACAATTATAGGAATGTTTATGAGAGAAAAACTGACTCCGAATTCTGAAGAATTAAAAAGAAGTTTTGTGATTCCTAAAAATAGTAATGTTTTATACAATTTTAAGAGTCAACACTCCAAAACGTAGGAATAACTAAGAAAAAGAAAATTAGAATGTTTCATGACATGGTTTGAAAGCATGAACTCAGGCATGTATATAAATAATGGTTAATTTATAAAACTAAGTTATCACTATATTAGTTATAATTTGCTGTTATAGTACTATTTTAGTTATAATTATCAAACTTTTTCCTTATTAAACTATAGTTTGAAGTACTGTTAGTATAGCTTATCTTTCCCTATGATAGCAAGATCACTATTCTTCCCTTATATAGAATTTTGAAATAGTTACATTATTTGAAGTTCAATTGAAAACAGTTAAGTCTAAAGTAGTTTTAACTATGAGTCTTACATAAGCAACAAATAGATTTTAATACATTAATATTATGATTATAAATGTTCTCAAATTTGTAAACTAAAATAGAAAAATAGTCTTGGGTGTTCCAAAGACCAGATTTGTGAGACTCCAAATTAAAATGGCTCTGAAGCAAGAAAAATGTGCATGGGTTTGAATTGAGACCATTTACATAAATTAGGTTACTTTAATGGCTAGTCTTTCAGTAAATGGACAGACTTGAAAAAGATATGCCTTATACAAGCAAGAGGCAGCAAAAAAACTTGTCAGGGACAGCTTGGGATCTGGGCTGTGGAGAAAAAGGTCTCCTCTGAGAATTCTCAATCATAAACACACTATGTAAACACTAAATAGAGTTTAAATGACTATTACTGTTAGATCAAAAATATGTTTAAAGCAAAAAGCATTGTTAGGGATAAAAAGTCAACACATTTTGATAAAATGACTTACATATTTAGCATAGAAAATAATAACAACCCTGAAATCTGTTATGCCTAACAATGACACCAAAAATATACGAAGTGAAAACCGGCAGAACAATGAGAAATGACACATCTACAATCACAGAGGGATTTTCACTATGGTAACTGATAAATCAACTAGACCGAAAATTAATAAGGGTACTGTTATGGCTTGTAGCTACATGCTTCCCCAAAGCCTTGTGCACTCCTAGGTGGGGCTTTTCGGAAGTGGCTGGATCTAGGGTGTGTGAATGCGGGTTAAGGGTGTGTGAATGTGGATTGAGGGCAGGATTACTGGATTGGTCCACGGCTTGTTTGAGCACTGCTTTGGGTGTGGGTGATGGGAAGCCCCACCCTGGGTGTCTGGTGGCACCAATCAGTAGGGTTGTAGCCTGAATGGAATATAAAGGGAAAGAAGGCTGCTGCTGCCTTCCGCATGCCATGACAGAACGTTTCTCCTCGGCGATGCTCCTCTACCATGCTACCCTGCCGTGGAGTTAGACAACTATGGACTGGAACCTCTACAGATTTTAAGCCAATATAAATCTTTTGTCCTTTAACTTGTGGATGCTGGGTGTTTTGACTCAGCAAGAGAAACTAAGGCAGATACTGAAGATTTGAGCAATCACAATCAATTGACTGAAGGAAGATGGATTTCTATAATCAACAATTAAAGAATATATACTTTTCAAACATTTAAAACAAAATGATAACATGCCAAGCCACAAAGGAAGTCTGAGATACTTTGGAGAATGGATATTAAGACCAAAAAGAACAAAAGTCAGAACCTACACATGAAAGTTCTCCCCATCAGGTATTTGGAAATCTGAAAAAGATTTACAAATGATTCTTCAAAGAAAAAAATCCTTTCCATTTATAAAATGTCAATGGAAATGTTGGTTGCCAGTATCAAAATTTATGATATAGCCAAAACAGCAGTAAAAGAGGTACAAATATATCTCTTTGAAGTAAAAGGTACAAATATCTACAGTTTCAAATATATACACAGTAATAGGAAGAAAGACAGTAAGTGTTCAACTCAGGAAACCAGAACAAGAGTAAGGCTCATGAAAGAAGCAAAGACAGAGACGACCTAATGATATTAAATGAAACAGGCTACTTAATGATATTAAAACTTCTCTAGAGAAGTCAGACTGCCTATCCTTTTAGTTGCGATAGGACACAAAGGAAAGGATGAAAATGAAAAGACAAAATATTTTTATGATCTAATGTAAATGATGAGTGCCCTGTAAATGAACAACATTCAAAAAACCTATGAGATGTTAACTTGTTAGTTTGAGCTGACCCTGAAAGCAATTCACTGAGGGAAGTATTGCATCCACTTTAAAAAAGAAGAAACTGAGGCACAGAAAGCTTAGAGAATTGGCTCGAGGTTCTACATGTGGTAAGTGGCAGAGTCAGAATTTGCATAGAGTTTTATTGACCCAAAAGCTAATGTTCTACTCAGCCTGTATGCCTGGCATCTGGTTTATTTGTTTGTTTGTCTGTCTGAAACTACAGGTTCCATTGTCAGACAAAAACCATATACTATATATCCTTCACTCAATTTTTTTCCAATGGCAACAACTTGCATAAGTATATGTCAGTAAGAGTACACTGACCTTTTCCAGATGTGACCAATTTTATGTGCACTCATGCATGTACATACTTAGTTCTATCTTAACACACACGTGATCATGAGTCAAGACATAGAACAGTTTCATCACATACTTTTGTGCTACTTTTGACAGCCACAACTGCTCATCTCTAAACTGTTGTCACTGCAAAAAGGCTTTAGAAATAAAATTACATACTATGTAACTGCTAATACTGGCTCTTTTCACTTTGCATAATAATTCCCTTGAGATCCATTCATGGTGTTATATATGTCAATAATTTGTTCCTTTTTATTGCTGAGTGGTACATCCACACCATGGATGTACCAACTGTTACCATTTATTCAATGAAGGACAATTATGTTTATATATGATAAGAAAAACCAAATAGTTTTTCCTATTCTCATACACAGAACACTTTGTGATCAAATGCGAGACAGGACTTACCTCCAACAACAAATCTGATACTAACTAATTTAAGTCAATTATGATAATAATCTATTTGGAGTTAGGTGAGATCCCACAAGTTAAGGACTCAGTCCCACAAGATTGCCTCCTACTTTAGATGCCAACTGCCAAGTCTGTACCTCCAGAACTTCTGACCAACTGCCTATAAATTGGTGATTTTCACAATTACCTCTTTGGGTTCTGTTAGGGTGTGTATGTGAATGTTCCTATAGAGCCTCATGTGCTCAGAGGTGGGGCTTTTCAGAGCTGGCTGGATTTAGAGTGTGTAAACATGGATTAAGGGTTTATGGTAACTAGATTAGTCAACTGACTGGTTTAGCACAGTTCTGAGTATGAAGCAGGGGAAGGCCCATGATGAGTGCAGGGGGCACCATCCAAGAAGCTCGTAGCCTGAAGGGAATAAAAGGGAAAAGCAGGCTCACTGATGCTTCTTCCTGCCTGCCCTGCCATGGGCTATTTCTTCTCTGCCATGCTGCCTTGCCTTGGAGTCAGCTATGTGCTGAAACCTCTACAAACTGTGAGCCAAAATAAACCTTCCTTAAACTTGTGAGTGTTGGGTATTTTGTCCCAGCGATGAAAAAGTAACTAAGAAAGGTCAATAATTTGCTAAAGCAGCATGCAGAACTCAAGTTTTATTTACATTTACTGAAAAACTCATATTCAGTGTAATAACAAATTGCTATATTCTTTCCTAGAGTGATTATACCATTTTATATTCCCTCTAGCAGTGTGATCCAATTTCTCTACATTTTTGCCAGCATTTGGTGTAATTGGCATATTTTTAGCTATTCTTTTAGGGTGCAGTGACTCTTTACCATGGTTTTTATTTGCATTTCCCCCACTGGTAACAATGTTGAACAATTTTTTATGTGATTATGTGCTATCCAGACAACCTCTATGGTCTATCATGTCTTTTGTCCATTTTTAAACTAAAGATTATTGTTTTAATTTTACTGTTGACTATAATGGTATTTTTTAGTGTATCAGATACTATTTAATTTTATTTGTTTTTACTCTAAAGAGAAAGATAAAAATTCGAATAATGGTGTTTTATTTTTTTTATTTTTTTATTTTTTTATTTTTTTTGGTTTTTCTCTGGTACCGGGAACCGAACTCACGACCTCGCGCTTGCCAGGCAGGCGCTTTTGCCGCTGAGCTAAATCCCCAGCCCGAATAATGGTGTTTTAAATGGAGACATTTCATTGAAACAGAAACTGAGGTACATAGATGAATAAAAAGTAATAAAAATAATAAAGCATGAGTTTACACAGAATCTTGTGAATTTTCTGGGCAATGTTTTATGCTGAAATGTTTTATAATGCCCATGAAAAGCATCTACTTTGGTGATGCTTGCCAACTTCTAATGTGAAAGTTGTTACTAAATTAAACAGGCAGATTAACTATTCGTACATGTTCCAGTGATAGAATCCCCAAATGACCACCTTTTAAAGGTGAAAAAATTCACGTTAAGTGTTAAGAAGTGTTGTACATTTATCTCTTGAAAGGTAAATCATGATCTCTCAAAATTCTCCATCACATCCCTAATTCTAATACCATGTTTGTCATAGGATAACAGCAATGCACTGTGGATTACTCATCAAGTGTTTTCTTTCAACTGATGTCTAATGTAGTGCCTGGCATATAGAAGGAGCTCACTGTCTACTGAACAAATGTAAATACATTATGCGCTACTGCTCATCTCTCTGATGAGATGTAACACCTTATTGTTCCTTTAGCTAAAAGATCATATTAGAATCACAATTTAAAAGCAAATG